GTGTGTGTGTGTGTGTGTGTGTGTGTGTGTGTGTGTGTGTGTGTGTGGTGTGACATATTAATAAGCTTCATGTCACTTTCAATTTCAGATCTGGTTCTATACAAATGACATTTTTAAGAACGCAGGAATCCCAGAACCTCATATTCAGTACACGACTGTGGCAACTGGTGCCATCGAGGTCATCTCTGGGATGCTGGGGGTGAGTAGACATGTTCACACTTCAAACACACCAAGATGGAAATATTATATCACTATTATGACACTATTGCATATGGTGCTGACACAGACAATTGTTTGGTTAATCCAATGTGTGGATTTGTTGCTTTTCTCCATTTTGAATGATTGTAAATGAATAAATAATATATTTATATATATATATATATATATATATATATCACCTTTTGGCTTCGTGAACTTGTGATGAGCATTTGAATAGACTTGATCAATCAACTGATGAAGAACAGACTGATTAATTCAAAAAGGAAATAACCGTTAGTTGTACTGCATGAAGGCCCATCTAGGGAAGAGTTCTATGAACTAGATTAGGCTGTAGACCTGTCACTGCAGGAAAAACACAGGTGCAGTTGAAAACATTAAAAACGACTGCATCCCGTGTAGCTGAGATGCAGCGTGCTCGTATTGTGCACGCTCGCCATAGCCATCTCGTCACAATTAAATTGTGGAACTGAAATACTGCATGTGGTGATGGTGCACCAGTAAACATGGAATGGGTTGCAATTAATGATCAAAGGGTACAAAGTCACCTGTTTCTGTCTTCTTGATAATGTCGCCTCTTTGTCCGTTTTGCAGTGTTTCACTATCGAGCGTCTGGGCAGAAGACCTCTGATGATTGGCGGCTTCCTCTTCATGGGTCTCTGCTGTTCTGGCATCACAGTGTCTGTCCTCTTACAGGTACAGTGTCATCTGATGCGCTGCTAATCAGGAATACATTAACATCAATGTCCTCATTCTGTGTTTTTAAAGTTTATCTGAAGCTTACGTGAGGCTTCAGCGTTCTGAGTCACACAAACTGAGTGGATTTCTTTTAAATTAGAATAAAAGAATTTTGTTTCCCTGTTGAGCGTAGAAGGATAGAAGGATTAGAGCAAAAATATGGAAATGTGTACTAAACTGCTGGACCATTCGGTTGATATCCACTGGATTTGTCAGACTCAAACACATGACACCTTATATTGGCTTCAGATGTCCATTTGAATACAGTTTTGTCCCATCACTTCTACAAAAAGAGCTGTTTACTTCTATGTACATAATATGTTAGTATAATCAGACTCAATTGAATAATTAAAACCTGTAAACTGTGTACTGATGTTTACAACTCGTGACTTCAGACTCTTGACTTGTGTTCGACCAATCACAGACGCAGCTGTCCTTCATGCGCTACATCAGCGTGGGCTGCGTTGTCGGGATTATTGCTGGTTTCTGCATCGGTCCAGGTAAACACTTCAGAAAGCCTCTCTGCATCTCACGTGATGAAAGAAAAAGAACATCTCCAGTCCACAGAAACCACACTAGATCTCGGGCTGCCAGCTGTGCGTAAGATAACACTGCTCCCTGCTGGAAGCTTGCACAACAGCAGGCACCACATCTCAAACAGCACCACCACGTCTTCCCGACTCCTCCTCTGACTGTGAAGAGATATTGTATTTCATTAGTCTTGTAAATTAGGAAATCATAACTGCCACACTACCTCCATTCCCACAGCCATTTGTATACCGGATGAGTTGAGTGAACTGAATTAAGAGGCAATAGTTTACAACTTTGGGAGCCACGTTGAGTGGACCTGTGAGGATGATGAATTAGAGCGAATCTGGTTTACATAGCGCCATTCGTCAAGACGGCAAAAATCTATTCCTCGGCATGCGGACGAGGATTTCTGCAGCTGCAATTAGACTTTTAATGGCTCATTGTTCATAAGCTAGCGGTTTCCTTCAGCCGAAACCTCACATGCACAATGCGCCCCCCATACATACCGCAGATGTTGACAAATTATGGCCTTGTTATTGTTTTGACGATATTAAACCTTCCTCTCTGCAATTATCGTGAACAGATAATGAGGACATCATTCGGAAGGCTCATCATTAGAGCTTTTACTAATGCATATTTCTCCTTCATAGCTTTCACTTCTAACAATGAAGAATTATGTGTTTAAAGCCCGGACAACATCTCAGAGATGCTGCATATCAAACTGACGACTTGCTCAAGTCCTGGCGAACCTATTCCGTCTCCTGTTCGGAGTTGAACTTTTGCCAAGTTGACAAACGTCCTCCTCTCTTATCAATCTATGATCACTCAGTGATAATGGACACGTAATGAAGTGCATGCAGAAATATCAGTGTAATATAACAGCAAAAAGGGGCTCGAGGAATGTTTATCATTTTGTTCTATCACTGTTCTGTTTATTTTGAACGACTGCCAAAGAATATCCCTGAGTGGGAATATTGATAAACTAATTGATGGATGAAGATGCTGGTGTTAATTTCACAACACCCGATGGATTCACGCAGGTGCACCGAGTGGTTAACTGTGATTTGTATTATGACAGCTTGATGCCTACTTAGATCAGACCAATAGATGAACCATGTTGTCAAAAGTGTGGCTTAAAATAATACAACCTTTCTGTCTCTTCCGTGTAGCCGGTGTGCCTTTCCTGATCACTGCAGAGCTGTTCAAGCAGTCACATCGACCGGCTGCCTACACTGTGGCCGGATGCCTCAACTGGATGTCCAACTTCACCATCGGCTTCGCCTTTCCCTTCCTGGAGGTCAGAGCAAACTCAAATCTCATGTGCCCAAATGTTTTCTTTATTTTGCATCTCAAGCCTATAGTTGGCATTGTGAACATCAAGATCATCTTGACTTTGCATCCGGGATCTGTTGTCTCAGACTCATGGCAATTATGATATGGGCTGTCCGGTTTCGTTGGAATGTAGGTGACTCCCCAAATACCAATAAAACGACTAATTAAAAGTGACCTTGCCGTCTCTCGTTGTCCTCAGTGCGGGTCTAGTTCAACAGACACAAAGTAAAGAGGACGATTATGTGTCCCGTTGAGAGCGACGATGTAAATCTGCATGAATTTTGGCCCCAAATGTTAAAAACACATGGGCGTCACGTGGTATTTGATGGTTTTAATTTAATATAAAAGCTATGAATAGAACAGCTTCAGAGCTGTGCTATGCTAGCAGGTTCCCCTTGCCTTCAGCCTTTGTGCTAATCGGCGCTAAAGTCCTATCGCGGACGATCTTTGTTCTATAATCAAACTGAATAAATTGATAAAAAACTTTACATCTGACTGCGGCTCTGATAGCACAACAAGAATATAAAAAAGACTAAACAAAGCCTCAGACTTATGTTTTTATGATGTGTAAGTCTCACCCCAACTTCCCTCCATTTCTTGGACTAATCAATATTTTTCAAATGAACACCAGCTTAAATACTTGTGTGATAACCCAAAGACAAGTATCGCCCGACTATGCAGTTCCCCTCAGTTCTCTGGAGGCTGACTTTACTGTTTCCGTTCAGTCTCAGCTCCTCCAAATGTTTTCTAGCTGCAGAGGACAACGAACACTGGAGATTAGATTAGATTCAACTTCATTGTCACTGAGCAGAGTACAGGTACTGAAACAACCAAATGCAGTTTATCAGTACAGTACAGAGTAATGTGCAGAATAATGAAAACTAAAAACTTAGATTGAATCAAATTCACATTAATCTGCTTTTATTAGCGTCCCTGCGCCCTGTTTCTGTCTAAAGGTCCTATTATTGACCAAAAGTAGTAGTTTTAAAGTGAGAACATTTTTTGTTAATGATGACAATTTGTTCCTTTTTACTTTCCTTGAATAATGAGCACTTTGTAAAGAAAGTCAGAGGAGTATTTGTTTTCTGTGATCATGCCTTCGTGTGTCCTTCCTCCACAGAACGCCACAGGTCCTTACTGTTACCTGATCTTCTGTGTGGTCTGCTTGGGAGTGGCCGTCTACACCATCTTCATTATTCCTGAGACCAAGAACAAAACCTTTATGGAGATCAGCCAGATGTTCGCTGCCAGGAACAACATCCTCGAAGAAGATTTGACTTCCAACGGTCATCTCAAAATGGCTATGAGGAACGGCTATGGAACTCTTAGTGAAAAATAAGAAGGTGGGAGATGAGGAGGTGGACCTGCATGTGAATGATGGTCTCCTCTCTCAGTGTGCCTTCTTGGTTTGTAATGACTGAAGTAACTACAGCGGAGATAAAAGGTGGAACTTTTGTGGCCACGATGAGATCTACTGCTTCATGTGAAAACTACGAGGCCGTCGCCTACACACACTTTCTACACACACAAAAGTTCCTGTTTCAACCGTTAATCCCCAGTCAAAGTGCAGCTCCTGTACTTTATGTGAGACAGGAGTCACGCGGTCCTGCGTTTCAAATCAACCATCAGTGACATTTTAATCCGTTTTTCTGCATCTTAAAGTGTTTTTACGGGAGCCGAGTTGGTTTCTCACGGAGCTCTCGGACGCTTTAATCTCCAAATTAGCTTCGCTTTGTTGTAACACATCCCATGATCACTTTATTGATGATAGTTGGTGGCAAATACTGACTCTTTGTTGCTCAATAAAGACTATGTTTATTTAGTGACGCAGCAATAACACCTCGGAGGCAGAGCTTCCATCAGTGACCCAAAGGAAAGCCATTTCTCTGATCTTCCACCCAGTAATCATGTGAATGATTGTAACTGTTATGTTCACAGTGTTCAGCTCAAGGTGAAGAGCTTGACCAAGAACTTGAGCTTGTGTTGGTTTCGTCTTTCATTCACTCTGGGATTTTGTGTCTATTTGAGTTTGGTATCGTGGCTGCTGTAGTCATTTCATACGTCTTGTCCAATGCACATAATGTGAAGCTTGTTGAAAAGCTATAATTTATCAATATATGACAACAAGGTAGCTGTACAAGTTTGTTCAGTCGTTTTTTTTAACCGACCTCTTTTACACCATAAAATATAGTGGAAATAAAATGAAGACGTGCAGAAACATTCAAATATGTCTTCTGAGTTTTCCTGCTGTATTGAACTGTAAAAATGAGAGCAAAGAAACCCAAAACAGATTCATACGCAGTAAACTAGTTTACCCCACTGCACCATCAGATGTGGAGCAGCTCCTTTGAGCCACCACAACACTCTCTGGGGGTTTCTTTTGGGGCCAATGCTTACTTCACATTCATTCAGCTGTTGTGACGACCAATAACTGGAAGTTGCCTCCATACGAAGAAGATTACAATAAAGAGAAAAATCATTATCTGGCATTACTGTATCTCACTAACCCTAATGCAAAAACAACCATAAACATGACAAGAAACACCATTTGCAATTACAGCAGAGCTACATATCATTAATCAAATTCACAAATAAAATGTGGGTCTTAGAAGCACAACCACAATAATTCCCAACACGGACATAATAGAAAAAGATTGTAGAAAGAACACGGAAAGGGTTTTATTCGAAAGGGCAAGATTGGAACTAAAACCGCAGCCTGTATAATGGGTTTACAAGATGTAACTAATTGTTAACACATTGTTTTCAAGTGAGGTTTAAAGTACATTCTTGACCGTGAAAAAACGTCTCTTTTGAGGATCGATTTAGCGCCTCATCTGGAGCTTCGAATCATAATAAATCATCTTCATCAGGAGATGGAGTTTGTCCCGTTGTCATAGGATTGTTTGTAGATTGTGGATTGCCATTGAGAACAACTCAAAAACGCTTCACTTATTAGAAAGTGGTTCACATGCATAAGAAGTAGTTTATTTCATTCTTAGAAGGACTGATCTGAGCTGAAAAGGAAAACATCTTTAAACGTCTATAGTGTTGTAAGAAACCACCAACCAACGCGTTTCCACCTCTTCAGACTAGATAGAAGAGGAAGTCTTTATATTTAACATAATCCTGGTTTCTGTCTCTGGTTCCAATAACAAGTAAGACTGAAGAACTGTCCTCAACATGTAAATGAGACATTTAACATTAATTTCTTACTAAGGGAGGTTATGACCAGCTCCTGATATTTTTGTCATTCACCTCAAACTGTGTTGTGTGATCATCGTGTGAAGAATTGCACGAATAGCAGCGTTCCTTCTCACTGTGTGAAACTGCCATCATCCTGACTGCAGTCTTCTGCCAGCCAGGGTTGCAAATGTGCCATACCATGTGAAGTTATATATGGAATGTGGGAGTCATACAGTATGTTGAAGGATGTGAAGTAGCGCTCCTCTCTCTCTCTCATCTCTTCTCACTGCCTTTAGGCTGGCTGATCCATCTGTCAGCCCCTGCACAAGGGCCCTGCAAACCCCCAACTGAGCCAGAATGGAGCCAGAATGGATACATGTTGTCACATCCCCGCTTGTCCCGATATCACAGAGGATAGAGAGGAGAGAGGGTCGACCAGGCCAGGGTTTGAAACATCAGCATCACATCTGGATTGTTTTGGTACATTGTCACAGCGATTTTAGACATGGCTTCCTGTCAGAGAAAGGAAGGGAAAAGGTGAGACGAGTTGGGTGATTGAGAGTCAACCTTTGGAGTTGTTGATTTGCTGCTGAATGACAAATGGACAGTAGAGTTTGAGTCCTGAGAGAGGACAAACAGGGGCGTGTGGCTGTTCATATGTAACGTCACTTCCAAACAAAGGGCTCCTTGTCACTGAGACTACAGTACATTTCTGTGGATAATGCCACAGCATTGTGCACATGTGAAAACACACACACACACACACACACACACACTCACCCCGCCTCGGGCAGGCAGAGGCTATAAATCAAACAAATAGCATCACAGCCTGGCGAAGGAAGCATTCCAACAGATAAAATGCTCTCCCACACAACAAAGCCACACTCACTGCGTAATTAATTGCAACAAATTACCTCTTCCTCTCCCCGTCGGCCCCCACCTCGCCTCTTTTATGGCACTGACAAGCGCACTACACGCTCCTGCGCGCGTGCGTTTGCGCGGTGCGTATGCGCATGCAGCGCACACCGTGGCACCGGTGCGTACACACAGATAGCGCGCGCGCACACACACACACATACACACACATCCTCGGCCTGCACCCTTCATAAGTGCTTTAATGTGGCTTATTGCAGTGTGCGGTCCCCTTAGCCGTGGAAATATTCGCTTGACGGATGTGCTTTGTCGCCGGCGCTCCCCGGCGGAGGGCGGCTGTCAGGGAGGAGATGATAACATTAACAGGGAGGCAAGGCGATGACAAATGCCTGTTATCAGCGAACGAGGCCGGTGACAAATCGAACGGCAGCGCCCAGGCAGCCCCGGCGCGGAGTAATAAAAAAGAAGATGGATGGCACACCCAGGCAGGGCCCGCGTTAATGCGATTTCCACTGCTCTCCCTGACTCCCAATTAAGGCTGGGAGGGAAGGAGGGGTGGTGGGGAGGATGAGGGAGAGAGATGTGCAGAGCAGGAGAGAGGAAATAGAGCTTGTGTGAAAAGACGGAGAGGAGCTGGGGACGGTGTGAGGAGGAGAGACTGAGGTGGATGTGAAGAGAAGAAGAGGAGGAAGGGGTAGAAGTGTGAGGACAGGAAGGGACTGTGAGGTAGATGCAGTGGCATATGAAGAGGATGGATGTCACTAAGGATGAGGCAGGAGTGACAGGAACAAAGTGGAGGCACCACAACAGAAGATGCAGCTTTAATTGTCTGCAGAGCCCATCTGCTCCCCCCCCACCCCCTCTCCTCTTTTACTCACATCTCAATCAGGGCCATGTCTCTGAGGCTTAGGGTTGTTAGGTGTCTCTGCGGCCAGGTGGAACACCATTAGTGCCTTTCAAACAGCGACAGTAATGAACAAAACCTCTCTCTCTCTCTCTTTATTCTTGTTTCGACAGGTTGACGCTCCTTGATTAGCAGTATCAGGTGTGTCAGCACTGGATCGAAGTGTAAAAAAGAAGTCCTGCATGCTCCCGTGGTTTTCTATTGGCTCAGGATTCAAGAGCTGCTCCCTAAATCAGCTCTTATAAAAACAGAGCTGACAGACAGCCCATGGCGTATGGCAGACAGAGCTATAGAGATGAGCTACGACTCTGTCCAGGATGACTGTTCCAACTCATCCCGTCCAAGGACCCAGATGTTATCTCTTTGCTAAAAGGATCAGCGCAGGATATTGAGAAATTGCCTCGGGATGAGGGGGCATCTGTGCCCGAATACCCAAGGGCTGCTGTTTTGTCACTCTGACAGTGTTTTATAAAAGGCTGAGGAAGCTGCGAAGACTGCAGAAGCGAGGGCCATATATCTCCCGCTATTACATCCAGGCCAGGAAGAGAGGGTTGAAATGACAATGAAATATAGCCCCAGCTCAAAGGGAGAAAAAGAACAGGGTCTAAAGAGGGACGGCTGCATCTCCTCGGGAGCCTGCAGGGGCTGTGCTCCAAATCGGAGACAGATGCACGGCAGTCCCAGACACTAACCCTGTGCTATACTGCAAGTGCACAGAGGTGAAAAGGAGAAGATATGTGGTTCAGAGAGGGAAGTCCTTAGAGAGAACAGCCTCTCTGTGCCTTTGCTGATATTAGCCTGAAAGAACAAGGAGAAATTAGAGCCCTGCAGGAGGAAAGGAAGGGAGAGGAGGAGGAGGAGGAGGGGGGGTGAAAGTCCAAACTCGGCAAGGACCCCTGCATCATTAAGTTGTCAAGTGGACGGGAGGCCCCGAAATATGACTTGGAGTTATTGCCGGGGCCGGGGCTGATGATATAAGAATTACAGTACATGGATCATAGCCGGATCGATAGGTAGACAAAGTCATTATGGAGGGGCTAGAGTTCAATGCCTCCCTGGGGCTGCGAGCGGGGACAGAGGGCTTAAATTTATCACCGAGGCAATGTGTAACACACACAACACACAGGTGGGTGGCTGTGTAGTTATATTTCGCTTGTTGCCCTTATTTCCAAAGCTATCTGTTCCAGCTGTATTGATTGTGTGAGTCGTCTGTGGCTGCAGAGATGGAGCTCTGCATGTGTGTCTTGACTCGGCCTTTATTTGTCAATGTGTTTGCACCCCGTGAAGGATGTCCGCACATATGTGTGTTTACAGGTAAGCTGAATGTCTTGGTGCATGCACATCACTCAGCAGTGAACATTTGTCCTTCCTTGCTCTCTCTCTCGCTCTCTTTCTCTCTCTCTCTCTCTCTCTCTGCAGCAGAGGGAAGCAGAGGGATGGGGAGCACGAGCAGGGCAGCATCGATCCTCTCTGTGCCGAGAGAAATTAGGCATGAAATTAAAGCTCCCATCAAAGGCCAGGGCCAGCACTGTCACCTGATCCAGCACTATTTATACTCCCGGGAGATGATGATGATGTCTCCATCACGCTGATGATAATAGGACAGAGAGAGAGAGAGAGACGGAGGTGGAGAAAGAGTCTCTCCCTGCCATCCACGGTGCCACTGACCTGCCATCATTTATACTGCCAGGGCCCAAGTGCAAGGTTAGCGCCAGCCTGAGCCCCCATAAATCACTGCTCTGCTGGACGGAGAGAGGCCGGGGTCGACGCCTCTCGCAGCCAGCCTCTGCTGATGAGAGAGTATTTATAGATCAGGAGGGAGGGAGGGAGGAG